GAACCAAACTTGAGTACCTACTCGTTTGGGGGTACCACCCACCCAACAGTGAACACTACGCTGTCGGTTTTTGGTTGGCCTTAAGTGAAGGTAAGTTTAAGATTTTCAAAACCCTTTTATCTTAAACTAGGCCTAGCTTAAGGATTATTTAGGAATATTTTATACTGGAATATAGTTTAATTATTTAAACTAGAATTCGTTTAAGGGTTGACAAATATTAAAGTGATTGGCCTTAGACTAAGAATAGTTTAAGGATATTGTTGAATATTGAATATTGAATATTGAATATGAGTAAATATTGAATGATGAATATTGAATTGAATATTGCAATTATTATGAATGACTGATGAACATTGAATGTGAATATAAATGTTGAATAATGCATGATGAATAACTTTTAATAATTATTGATTATCTGAACTAAACATTATGTGCATGATATCAAATGATTTGATTATGAATTTAGATTCAGTTTATATGGATGTTCGATGCATTAGATATGCTTACTCAGCTTCAACGCTGAGCGTGTAGTATGTTTTATTTGCTACACGCAGGTTAATGAAGTGACGTGATCCTGGAGGCAGACGGAGGCGAGATTGTCGGAATGGATGTGATGATTTTGAATTAAAGAACATAACTAAATTATGTTTGTGATTATGATTGTTAAGCTTCCACAATATTGAAAACTCCGTACTGTTTATATTATGAAAAATATTATTGTGATAAATAAAAGTGTTTGAAATGTTTTAAATTTTTATGATTACCAAGTTAATACTTTAATCTGAAAGGGGCTGCAGACCTGGACAGATTAGGGTGTTACATGGGCGAGTTGGAAGGATATTTTGGCATAAAGGCCTTGTTTGGGACAAAGGAATCAGGGGAGAAGGCTCCCATAATCAAACAAGGATAATTCAAAAACAATTTTGAATTATGAGAGGAATATTTGGTGTAGAAAATGAGTCCCAAAAATATTTTGTGTGTCAAACGATGAACACAAAAATATTTGAATAAAATATTTTTGCTTTCCAAAAATATTTTCTAATATCAAAATAAATATTTTGATAAATATTTGACACTCCTTTTGAAACTAACTCAATAAAAGTATTTTGAACAGTTAAAAGATTTTTCAACTGACTCTAAAAATAAATATAATTTTTATTTTAACTCTCATAAAATTATTTTTGGAGAGAAGATTATTTTTGTCATCCTTACAATAATTCCTAAGACTCAAATAAATAAAAAGTCTTCAGAAATCTTCTACTCCTCCGAGTCATCCGTTAAGCGCTCCGAACGCGTCTCGGACTTCAATAAAATCCTGTGCACCTCCTTGAATACTTCAAAGAATGGAACTTCAAGTCTTCGTGTGTGTCGTTGTAGGACTTTGATCTTGACTTGAATAAAGTGTGTTTGTCAATTATCAAAACCTGTGAGTCAACACTTAACAAAACAGAAAGGGTTGAACTCATGCATTCCAACAATATGGCCATGGTTTTTAGAATCGAACTAGTGATCGAACGATCAGGGTACTGGTTCACTAATTCTGTAGTCGAATCAGTGGTTCAAAAATATTTGAATATTGTTGAGTCAATTGTTTTAGGTTTCTAGATATCAAACACCATCTAAGCCCAAGAAGTATGTGGGTTTGGGGATAAATATGAAGAAGAAGAAGAAGAAGAAGAAGAAGAAGAAGATGATGATGATAATAATAATAATAATGATGATGATGATGATGATGATGATAATGATAATAATAATAATAATAATAATAAGCAAGATTTTTACGTGGAACTCAAATCTGAGAGAAAACCACGAGTCCTTTTTGGCTAAGTCAAGCCAAGGTGTGCTTTATTCATATATTGTTTGGTGGTACAAGAGCTAGAAGCCATGAGAGGAAAGCTCACCAAGCTTTCTCTCTCCACAATACAAATGGGGAAGAAGAGGAGGGAAAAAGGCCCCCCGGGATAATACATCATTCCTTTTATTTATACAAGGGCCCTTAAGGTTTTGGAAACTCTAATGGACCATTGCATGGGCCGAACAATCACTCTCCATAACCCTTAAGTCGGGCTTGGTGTTTGTCCATCGCTCTAGTTGGTATGCTCCTCGGGCTCGGGATATACCACTCTAGTCGGGACATGACCCTCTGGCCCAGGTACCTCTCAAGCTGGGAATTACCACTCATTGGGATATACCACTTTGGCCAGGCATATCACTCTAACCAAGGTACCACTCGGGCTTGGGGCATGCCACTCTAGTCAGGACATGGCACTCTGGTAGGACTTAGCCATCTATCCATGTGGCCACCCGTACTCTTACTTGATCCACGCAGGTTGGATATCTACGATGTTATGGGCCTGTCAAACGAGCCTGATATATGCTTGAACATTATCCCAACACAAGCCCCCAGTTTTGTTGTCCTGTAACGTAGTTGAGTGGATGTCAGAACTTAAAATTCGATGCATCTCTCCTCATGCTCTTTTATTCGTCGCTAGTTTCCCGTGATTCTCTAGTGGGTGTGGAATGGCGTCCTTGTTTGCACAATACAATCTTCCTTTTGTCATAGCCTGATTAATCCACTTGATAGGGGATTCTCTGTTCCTACGTGTGAATTTTCACAAGGGAAGTAGTCTTCCCAGACTTGGATTTTTTCTCAATATACTTGGCAAGAGAGGTACCCTTCCCAGACTTAGATCCTCGTGGATCTACTTAGAAAAAAGAAGCACTCTTCCAAGATTTGGAACCATCTCTTGGTCCATTGATATTCAAGTTTCTCCAGACTTCAGATTTTCAAATATGTGTTTTCCTCACCCCGACGGGATGAGATGCCATTTCTTGTCTTTGGGCGTCCCTCACACTTCAATGATCATACCTATGGAGTACACTTATGACATAGATGGCTGTGTTATGGAAAACACTCTAGTTATAATCACCATCAAGACAACCTGTGCTATGATGAGCACTCTGGGCATAGTTAGCATCAAGAGAGCCCGTGTTAGTAGACTAGTGGTATGTATGTACGTATTTATGTATGCATTAGTGAATTAGTGAATGTATGTACGAATGAATGTATGCATGAAGGGTAGAGAATGGGAGAGACCTCCTGGTTTTCTAATTTCATATTTGAGGTTGATTATGAAAGGGGGAAAACAATCTCGAGCCTAACCTCTCATTCCTAGGGCTTCGAGATTGGCTTGATTGGTCGGGGTCAGCAGGTTCGTAACCTTAGACTGCATCCTAGTCCTTAAGAGCACTGGTAATACCCCTCACGCCCACCGGCGTTACGGGGCGTTTAACGCCCCGGGGGGCGTGAAACACCGCCCCCCGCCGGCGTGAAATGGGCGTGAGGGCGCCTGCGTCATTCGTTTGGCGCGGCGTGACTCTTGCGCGGCTCCCTCCTAACGGCTAAAAAAGCCGTTGCAGCCCACATTTCAAAAAAAAAAANAGAGCACTGGTAATACCCCTCACGCCCACCGGCGTTACGGGGCGTTTAACGCCCCGGGGGGCGTGAAACACCGCCCCCCGCCGGCGTGAAATGGGCGTGAGGGCGCCTGCGTCATTCGTTTGGCGCGGCGTGACTCTTGCGCGGCTCCCTCCTAACGGCTAAAAAAGCCGTTGCAGCCCACATTTCAAAAAAAAAAAATTTTTTTCCTATAAATTCAACCCCCCCAACCAATCTCTCACACCTTCTCTTCAATCTCTTCCTCTTTCTTATTTTTAAATTTCAAAACTCAAACCCCCCCTCCCAATTTTCAACACGAATCCTTCCGGCTCCGGCTTCTTTCCCGACGATCTCCCGCCCGTCGACGCCGCGATGTGGTATTACCAAGAGTTGGGCGATCGACCGCCAATGTACGACACGCAACAGTCGGGGTACGTCGACCGAGATTCGGTTCCGGAGACTCAACCGGAACCGTCCGGATCGAAAAAAAGTACACGCCGGAGGAGCCACAAAGCCAAAAGCACGTTGACCGAGGCGGCACGGTCAATCCAAAAGTGGACGCCGGAGGAGGAGTGCATATTGGCGTCGGCTTGGGTTCACGTCTCCGAGCATCCTATCATTGGTTAAAAATTTATTTTTTGTAATATATTTATGTTTTTATTTTTATATATTATATTTAATGGTGTCTAAAAAAATTGTGTAATACATTTTTAAAGGTACGGAGCAAACGAAGGATGCGATGTGGGATCGTATCGAGGAGATGTTCTTCACGGCGATGAAGAAGGACGGCTCCTACCGAACCCGGGACCAACTCACTTCCAAATGGAGCCACATCAACAAAAAAGTCCGAAAGTTTATGGGAGTTTACGAGGGAGCGGCACGAACGACGCCGATGTTCTCCGGCTTGCCACGACCCGGTATCAAGATGACGGGAACCAAGGCAAGGTGCCCATCGATCTTTGGAGGATTTTGAGTCGTTCCCCGAAGTGGCAACAACTCAACAATCCCGACGGCGGATCGTTCCGGAAAAGATCCACCTTCGACGCCGAGGTTGAGGTCGACGAGACTATCGGTTCTAGCGATCAAATCCCTCTCTTCAACTTTGCGGATTCCGATGACGAGGACCCCATTCCACGGCCGATGGGAAGAAAGAAGGCAAAATCCATTTCCTCGGGTTCGGGAGGGTCCGCCTCGGTTTCCGCTTCTCCCCGCGACGAAATCGGCCGGGCAATGATTGAACAACTTCGGGCGTTCAATCTCCAAGAACAAGAGAGGTTGATGCTAAAGGAGAAGGAGTTGAAGCTAAAGGAGCAGGAGGCTGAGATGAAAGTCATGCAAACCGACCCCGGGACGTTGTCGGAGTTTGGACGAATGATCTATGAGCAAAGAATGAGAGAGATCAAGGAGAAATATAATTTACCTTAGTTTTTTTTATTAATGTATCGTTTTTAAATTATTGACGCTTTTTTTATTTAATGAATGTATTTTTTTATTATTCATGTTTCAATTTAATTAAATAATAAATTAATTACATTTTATTAATTTAATTTTAGAAGATGTATATTTAAAAATGTAAAAAATGAAGGTTTGAATCCCAGTTTTGAAGCCCCGGGGCTTCAAACCCATTTCCAGTGAATTTTGGGTGTAAGTTAAAGCTGACGTGGTAGAGAGAGAAAGTTTGAAGCCCCGGTTTGAAGCCCCGGGGCTTCATAACCATTACCAGTGCTCTAAGTTGACATCCGGACCATTAGGTCAACTTTGAGAGTCAGACTTAAGGTCCTTGGATGGTCGGTCAACCCTCCTTTGTTGGCAGACAATGATGAAATGAGACAATGGCGTCGAGCCTACCCTCTCATTCCTGGGACATTGGAATTGGCTTGCCCAGTCGGGGTATACGTACAAGTTGGTACTCTTGGACAGCGCCCTGCGTCCTTGAGTTAACATTCGCTTTATTAAGTCAACTTTCAAGTCGGACTTAACATTACTTAGAAGAACGGTCAACCCAACTTTCTTGGCGTATGATGACGAAAAAGAAGAGATACAATATCTTTGATGCATGATCCTGTGATCTTCGATACACGCACGGAAATAACAATCCACTTTTGTAGACTGATACTAAACCATTGAAATCTCTGAATTAAGATTCGTTATGCATGCGATTACATTATCGATGATCTTGATTACCAACAAACTCTATTCTAACCCTAGCAAGGGAACATATGTGCAACAACCAAGAGAAGAAATGATGTCATAAAGACCATCTAAACCAATTGTTGAGTCAAAGATTCTAAACTGAACCTACATCTTCATAAGAACGTCGATGAACTTGAATGAACGATAACTTTATCGTCTCATAAGTTTGTGAATTGAATCACATGTTGAAGATCTTAACTTCTTCCCTCGTAAGTCTGTCACTATCGTAAACATATCTTGATCAATGAAAGGACGTCGAATATGACAAAAGGAAATGAGATGCCACTCGAACGTCATCACCTATGAATACGAATTGATATAAAGATTCATTAACGATAATGAGAACTATCATGAAGTGAATGAAGAAATGTTTCGACGTAAGATCTAGGATGACGAGCTACTGATCGACTGTACTTCTTCACGAATGATGACAAACCCCATGTTCTAAAAATCTTGTACCAATAAAAGCCAATTGTTGTTACTTCCGAGTCATTGCTGAACTATGTGATGTGAAGATATCTTGGGTTACTTGAAAAGGTTACGATACGACGTATGAATTGAAACAAACTCAATGACTATATCTCTCGTGAACTTGATAATTCGAATCTATAAATGCTATCGAAGAACTTTCAATCAAAGAAAGAATTTTGTTGATCAATGACGTACAATTGAAATTTGTGAATGAACGAAGTTAGTGCAAATTTATAAATTGTGCTCCAAAATACAATGTTATACTCTGCAAAGGAACCATAGTTATTGACGCTGACTCTAAACGGGAACCTGCTAAAAGGATCGTTGGATACCTTAGTTAATCAAAGACGGTTAATCTCTCAAAGATAGAATGAATTTGATAATATCAATGGTTTGAGAATACGCATCCGTGTGGATAATCATGATTTAACTAAATAAACATGACGCGGTCATGATTAATGTGAATACAATAAGATGTTGATTATGGAACCTTAGAAGAATTTCAAGGACAAAATTCCTTTGAGGGGCTTTGGTTTGATCCTCCCTTCTTGTACCTTACTTTCTTCTTTTAATAAATAATATTTTTCCAAATATGGAATTGATAATATCACAATGTCATTGATTTATGAAATCTTTTTTATAACTCTTTGGACACACAAAGAATGTCCTTGTACGAATCTAAGGTCATCTTTTAGATAGTTTTGACACATATAGTGTCCTAATATGGAATAGAGGACAACTTCTAAATAATGTGAGGACATATTTTAAGTGTCTTCTTATATATTTAAGGATACATTTTGAAATTTCAAAAAAAAGGATACATTTTGAAGAGATTTTGGTGTGTCCTCGTATAGAAAAGAAGACACTTTTTATGTATCCTTATTTTAGACATACCATGACTCCTTGATAGAGGACACTTTTGTTGAGTGTCCTTGTATATAATAGATGACTCTTTTTAAGTGTCTTCAAATCACCTTTTTCTTGTAGTGTGATAATAACAGCATTTTTGTCAAGCTTGTTTCTAAAGACCCATTTTGTGCCCACAACGAGTCGGTTTTCCGGTCTTTCGACTAGTTCCCAAACCTTGTTGCGTTCAAATTGCTCAAGCTCTAGTTGCATGGATATAATCCAATCACTATCTTTTAGTGCATCTTCTACGTTCTTAGGTTCAAATTGGCTAACGAACGCATAGTGTGCACAAAGATTGTAATTGTTCCTAGTTCTAACTCCCTTTTCAATATCTCCAATGATATTGTCTCTTGTATGATTCTTCAAGTGTTTGTACGCCTTTGGTAGTTCCTTCTCTTCATTTTCTTCTTCACGTGCAGGAATTTCCAGGGATTTTTCTTCCTCTTCTTCTTCATTTGAACCTGCAATTACCTTACTCGACCCAAAGGGATCAGTTTCATCAAATTTCACATGCATAGATTCTTCTACCTGATGATTTGATTTATTATATATTATATACCCTATAGGCTCTACTATTTTTTGAATAACCAAGAAAAATGCCTTCATTTGATTTAGGCTCAAATTTACCTAAATGATCATTGGTATTCAAAATATAGCATTTACATCCAAAAACTTTGAAATAGGCAATGTTTGGTTTTCTACCTTTCCAAAGTTCATAGGGATACTTTTTAATAATAGGTCTAAGTAATACCCGGTTAAGAATGTAGCATGCCATGTTGACCGCTTCTCCCCAAAAATATTGAGGTAAGTTATGTTCATTCAACATGGTCCTTGACATTTCTTGCAACGTCCTATTTTTCTTCTCAACGACTCCATTTTGTTGAAGTGTTCTAGGAGACAAAGTTGTGAGAAATACCTTGTTCATCACAATGTCTCAAAGTCGGTATTCCGGTATTCTCCCCCTCTATCACTTTTAATAGAGGTTACTTCATAACCTTTCTCATTTTGAATTCTCTTGCACAACTTAACAAACGCATTAAACGCATCATCTTTATTGGCAAGTAATATAGTCCAAGTGTAACGAGAAAAATCATCTACAATTACAAATGCAAACACTACAAGAAAAAGGTGATTTGAAGACACTTAAAAAGAGTCATCTATTATATACAAGGACACTCAACAAAAGTGTCCTCTATCAAGGAGTCATGGTATGTATAAAATAAGGACACATAAAAAGTGTCTTCTTTTCTATAAGAGGACACACCAAAATCTCTTCAAAATGTATCCTTAAATATATAAGAAGACACTTAAAATATGTCCTCACATTATTTAGAAGTTGTCTTCTATTCCATATTAGGACACTATATGTGTCAAAACTGTCTAAAAGATGACCTTAGATTCGTACAAGGACATTCTTTGTGTGTCCAAAGAGTTATAAAAAAGATTTCATAAATCAATGACATTGTGATATTATCAATTCCATATTTGGAAAAATATTATTTATTAAAAGAAGAAAGTAAGGTACAAGAAGGGAGGACCAAACCAAAGCCCCTCAAGAAGAAACTACAAAAGTTTATAAGAATTATGTCTTAGAAAATTGCATATGTACAAATGCAGAGCCAACTAAGAGATAATTTTGAATACACACAGGCCAACTGTGCTAAAAAGATAACAGATAAGCACTTGAGGGCAATTCATGCACCAGCTTCTCCCAGATCAACACTTGTTCCAGCTTCTCCTAGATCAAAACTTGTTCCAGCTTTTCCCAAATGAGCATTTGTTGCCCCAACTTCACCTAGATAAAAGCTTGCTGCCTCCCAAGTAGAATTAGAGTACTACTGCCCCATGGGTCATCAATCCTACATTTTATTAACCCATCAAGAATTGTTTCACCACTACTAATAACAAATTTAAACAAAAAATGTGAAAGCATGAGGAACCTACCTTAAGAGACAGAGTAGATGATCTTAAACTTGCATTCTGATAAGGTATGTTTGAATTTTTGCACTTACCACCTGACTTAACATGGTGGAAACAAGCCATAAAATACATGAGATGCCCTAAGCACAACATCCTTAAGTCAGTCTTTACAAGAGTCCCCATCTCTTCATGTATCATGTATCCTTATGTCCTCGTTAAAATGAAAAAAGTGTAGAGTAAGGGAGGGATTCAAATCATTATTCTCCATGGACAACACTTTTAAAATGTTCAATTCTGATTGTAAATAGGTGGAAATGCTATCTGAAACATGGATAAAAGTTATACATATTGTTTACCATATCTGGATGCCGAATAATACACCTACCCTCATTTTTGGTCCATAGTTACAATAGTGGAACCTGGAAAACATGACAATAGATGAGATTTTCCCCTCGTTCGCATGAAAGGGATTGACAAAGCATATCAAAACTTTTATTTAAAAGATTTTCCCCTTCATGAAAAAGTTTGTTTCTGTTTTCCACACAGCATATCAAAACTTTTATTGAAAAGGATTAACATTCAACTCTCATACATGTATATGTGAAGAAAATTATGATCAAATACTTTTGGGATGTAAAGAGACACGCAAAAGAGCAAACCGTGTTGTTTAGAAGAATTTTGTGAACAATTGAAGGCAAATTCATCATACTCCACCGTTGTTATCCACATCTACAACCTAGACAAAGCACAACCAGTGATCTTATAAGTGTTAGAATAGTGGGCACAACCATAATGCATGATAAAAAATTTAAAGAGTGGGTGGATACCTGCTGGAACGTACTAAGATAGGCCAAAATAGATCCTCCAAACCACACACTATATTTCCATAATTTCCTCTAAGGTGGAGCAACCAAATTTTATTACAGCAACAAGCACTACAACACCAAATAATACATGGAATCTAAAAAAGCATTTACACCAAAGAGAAGAATGTAGAATAATAGCAATTAATTCGTATAAAATATCCTAGCACAAACATAAATAATAAAGTAAACTAGCCAAAGAAAAAACATTTTCCTATATCACAACTATAGAGAATTTAAAC